CCCCAGGATCACAACTGTAATTATTTTCAGAAAGAAAATTTTTCACGCCCTTTAGTACCAACTCATCACATAAAAAAGGCTCCCACGTATAATGACAAACGCAACTCCTTCCAGTTAGGAACAGCATACCCTTCTCTTGCAAACGTAAATAGCCATAACAGAGGCTACGAATCTAACGACCAAGACTATTTTGCAGGTAACTTCCCAATCAATTTCACTAGCTCAATTCATACATCTCCCACTAAGTCTAGCTATCAGAATACCGAGCTAATGAAGAACACTCAATCCCTCACTTCAAAGTTCACACTAATTAAGCATTCAAATTCAACGTAATGGTATTTGACATAGTATAATATTTGAAAGTATTTGAATTATCGTATGAACTGGGAATCCCAGAATTAACGCAATTGAATCAACAAGTATGATACAAGCACAAACGGATATATTGTATTTGGAATTCGAAATCGAGCATTCAATATGTACAAAGGTATTACTAGTTCGTTCAAACACCACACATAGTCGACTACATTCTTCTTAGATCAATAAATCATATACAATCATCTGTCAGCTAACACACGATCAAAAAGTTACGAACCGTTGTTCTGCACATCTGACACATTCCTCATGACTAATGTTTTCACCACCACGATGTATGTTGCCAGACGTAAGCTCACGTGGATTCAGCATCTAATATTACTATGACTAATACTGTTACCACTAATTCCGCTAATATCAACAACTCTAGGACCATGATCAATACTATTTCAGCATTATCGGTCCACTACATCGGTCCCATTCACCAAATTCGGTCACCAGAATATTAGAACCGGATGGTTTTATCATCAGTCTGATATGTAATAAATTGACGTTTCATTCTGTCTACCTCATTCTTCTTCCAAGTACGTCAAAACAGAAAAGATCGGTAATCAAAATGTGATCCATATACTGTTTCACTGAAATTTACATTCACCAAAGTGCATAACAACTGACGAACTCATCATTATATGCACTCGCCTTAGAAGTCAATAACACTGGATTTAGAGACATTATTGGGAAAATGAATACAAATACACAAGCATCAATACATCGTAACACTTATATTCACATATAAACTAGAAATATATACAGGTGAAGGAAAAGGTGACAACAGTAGAACTGAAATGTTTCCTCATTAGATTATTACCAGCCTTGAGTCAATTGACATTATTCTACGAACAACGGTAGGGATGTGTCAGTGTAGATGGAAGAACAACGAGAATGAGATGATATTACGAATGACATTGACCGATATACTACAGATCATATCACATATGACTATCAGCAGCGCTAAACATTTTCAGAAATGACCAATTCTGAATTCAACCTCAGATCTGTGACATCAACTTGAAAGGGCAGATTGATCTGTTGATTGAAAATGAGCAACGTAAATTAGCATAAACAAGACCCCGTATTACTTCTTTTTATATTACACACATTCCAAATACACAGTAGTTGTCAAGGTCAACTAATGGTAGGACATTAATTGTTCATTATAAACATAGAACTTGCTTACAAAATATTTTCACTTGTAGTGCACCGCAAGAAGCCGGATCATATTTAGTAATCTATGGAAATCGATTAAATGAAGGTTCAGGTAAACGGAGTACAATTTTACATAGGGTAGTGAGAGAGAAAATTAACATCGTACAAAAAGGCATGAAATTTTGGCACTACTCTAGTCCATAAAATGACTGAAGGATAGTCAGGGCAAAACGAAGATATAGTGATAAGGAAGATAACATTTCAATCTTCGAAGTACTTATTGAAATCATTATCGTCTTTATAATTAGTTTATCTTTGGTGTTTCAGTTCACATAAAATTCTTTCTGTGTAGTTTTGTGATCTCTTTCTGTTAGTGTATACCACAATTCTTGCCTGCAACAATCATAAAACAATCTACGAATCTAATCAATCTGTTTAATAAAGCACACGAAGGTACTATGGAATATATGAAACAACGTAAATTCCATTTTCAGATGCTGTAATCTATCGAACATCAGATGTCGAACCACTAAGAAAATCGTATTGCAATAAAACATCGATTAGAGTATATCTCAATCTTAACAGCTTTTGTCCACTTATTTGAAAAAGGACGACTTGACGAGCGCAAAATTGGTGAATATCACGGTGTCCAGTGTATATTAATATACACATTTGTAGCTATAATTTCGTTCAAATTATTGTTAAACTTCATTGTCTTTAAACAATGCCTATGAACTGTTATGAATGGAAGGAATTGTCATCTAGAATAGCAGAATGGGTCAACTTATTACTGGAAATCAGAGAACCAATAGTGTTATAAAGTTCAGTAATTCAGGTAGTCAATTCAATTTGATACTCTCACTTAACCTACATGCTATTGGAAATCGTGTTTCATATCTAAAAACCTGCGGATAAAGATGAAATCTAATATTAAGCTATTTCTAAAGTTCACACTACTTCATCATTCAAATTCCACGTAATGGTATTTGACATAGTTGGCTACATTCTTCCTAAGTCAATAAATGATATACAATCGTTTGTCAGCTAACACACAATCAAAAGTTAATGGTCCGTTATTCAGCACATTTGACAGATTTCACCGCCATAATGTATGTTATCAGACGTGAGTTCATGTGGTTTGAGCGCCTTATATTGCTATTACTAATACTGTTACCACTAATTCTGCTAACATCACCACTTCTGGTACTATGACCTACAGTACTTTAATTTTATCGGTCCACTACATGGGTCTTATTCACCGAATTCGCTCACGCAAATACTAGAACCGGATGTAAGTTAACGGATTTATGAGTAGAGAAAAAATTATTTGAAATCACTAATTACTCCATCATATATTTCTACTACTGAAGAAGACATGTTGATATTCCGCTTGCAATAAGTGAATTGTGAGAAAGTCAACACTGTAATTATAATCACATTCATCAGTTTTATTTCACTTGAATAAATAAATAAATTCGGATAAGATTCTATTCCACATGTGTGCGAAAGTAAATTATCCTTATTTGTTCGCGATTTGTCGCAAACCAGAAAGTCTTGAATTATCTTAATCTAAAGCATGAATGTATATAAAATCATGACTCAGAGAGAAACGAGGTCGTAGAATTAAAAGTAAGAGAGGAATTTGTAGTAGTTATAGTTGTTCAAAGATCACGAAGGAAAGAAGCCAAATATTTTCAACACAGTCCGAATTGAAATACTTCTGATCGTGTTGAAGATATGTTAATTTAGTCCAGTTGTCTTCGTTGGAGACCTAATGAGTTTGTAGTTCGGTATGATGATAGGTTTGACAATTGTAGTACTTAAAATATGGGAGAGTAGTGTCGTGAACAATTGTATGCTTGTTGGTGATTTACATGTTTGAGTGTTTTGATAATTGGTCCATGGTGGATGAACCAAAACTTCTATATGAATTGAGTTATGTAATAGTGATGATAATCACATTCATAGTTTTAGTATGCTTCATTCAAATCCTAACTGACAAAGTTAATTGATAAACACCTTAATAGAAGAGAAGGACGTCATTTGTAATATGACGAGAATAACGGAGCCACAGTTTCATGTTGTCAGTTATATGAAACTGTTTGGTTTCACCAACGAAAATGTGTCATTTAATAAATTGACGTTTCATTCTGTCTACCTCATTCTTCTTCCAAGTACGTCAAAACAGAAAAGATCGGTAATCAAAATGTGATCCATATACTGTTTCACTGAAATTTACATTCACCAAAGTGCATAACAACTGACGAACTCATCATTATATGCACTCGCCTTAGAAGTCAATAACACTGGATTTAGAGACATTATTGGGAAAATGAATACAAATACACAAGCATCAATACATCGTAACACTTATATTCACATATAAACTAGAAATATATACAGGTGAAGGAAAAGGTGACAACAGTAGAACTGAAATGTTTCCTCATTAGATTATTACCAGCCTTGAGTCAATTGACATTATTCTACGAACAACAGTAGGGATGTGTCAGTGTAGATGGAAGAACAACGAGAATGAGATGATATTACGAATGACATTGACCGATATACTACAGATCATATCACATATGACTATCAGCAGCGCTAAACATTTTCAGAAATGACCAATTCTGAATTCAACCTCAGATCTGTGACATCAACTTGATAGGGCAGATTGATCTGTTGATTGAAAATGAGCAACGTAAATTAGCATAAACAAGACCCCGTATTACTTCTTTTTATATTACACACATTCCAAATACACAGTAGTTGTCAAGGTCAACTAATGGTAGGACATTAATTGTTCATTATAAACATAGAACTTGCTTACAAAATATTTTCACTTGTAGTGCACCGCAAGAAGCCGGATCATATTTAGTAATCTATGGAAATCGATTAAATGAAGGTTCAGGTAAACGGAGTACAATTTTACATAGGGTAGTGAGAGAGAAAATTAACATCGTACAAAAAGGCATGAAATATTGGCACTACTCTAGTCCATAAAATGACTGAAGGATAGTCAGGGCAAAATGAAGAGTATGACAAATTGCTTTTTTACTTATAAGTGGTTTGTATTCACGAATGACTGAAGATTCCATCAACCTAAAAAGCCGTCTTTCACAATTTCTTTACTGAGTTTTAAAGCGATACTGATTTCAATTCTGTGCCTCATTTCAATTATGTGCTATTCTATCTATGAATATGGTCTTCTACATTCCATGTTTATCGAAACAGTTTGAATTTACTGACTTTCAGGCCACCTTGGTACGTGTCTCATAATACTTGATGGCATTGATCGATTACTCCTCTCCATGTATGAGTGTTTACACGTATACGTTAATTATTCGATGCAGTGAGATGTGATGTAATCGCTCATATAATCTCTAGGACATTTTAGAGTTGAGCGCTCAGAGCTTGCAATCATGACCTGCATTGGGAGCACAATATGTATCCTCGATGGCTCCTAAAAGTCTATGTCATAGTCAATATCTCCATCATCATCATCATCATCATCATCATCATCATCATCATCATCATCATCATCATCATCATCATCATCATCATCATCATCATCATCATCATCATCATCATCATCATCATCATCATCATCATCATCATCATCATCATCATCATCTCATCATCATCATCATCATCATCATCATCATCATCATCATCATCATCATCATCATCATCATCATCATCATCATCATCATCATCATCATCATCATCATCATCATCATCATCATCATCATCATCATCATCATCATCATCATCATCATCATCATCATCATCATCATCATCATCATCATCATCATCACCATCAAAATACCGTTAGATTCACCTCTGAATTGTAGAGGGTTATGAACAGTTTTCATCAGCAGAGAAATAAATAGAGTTTAGTGAATCAGTCAGGCTAATCGTCATCTTATCCTCTCATCTCAACATTTCCATACAACTCCTCGAGAACAGTTTACCATTTTGTTAGTAATAATTGTAACGCATTTTGATCAGATGGCAAGAATTCTCTCACAGTACTAATTGGTGAAACCATATTGATATCCATATGACGTGGAATTCATCGGAAAGCTTCCTAGCATAAATGTATTGAAATATGACGACATCCACATCAGAACTAAACACCTTCGTTTTAAACACTTGTTGTTACAATGATCAACAACATTGAAATAAGAATATCGCTAACAAATCCGAAATACTGTCATAACATCTTGAAAATATCTGACACAGTGCTCTATGGAAATAAGAATAATACTTAATGTGCTTCACTCATTTAACTTCGGTTTGATGATTTCAAGTTGCTTCTTCATACTCCGATTATGTGATAATATGATTTCTTATGTTCGCTATTGTCATCTGATCTGACGTGCATACTGTTTTCTTTTTTGATTGATCATTAACTGAGAAAACAATTTCATTTGCTTTGAAGAGTCATATATTTACTCAAAAATATTATATGTCGATATATTGCTTTTAAGTTGTTATTAATGCTGACGAAATCACTTATGCAGGTTACCCACACATCAGCAGCCACCAACCAACTCTTTTCTGGACAGTCACTTCCAATCGCTCTCCATCCTTTTCTCGTCTGCTTCCGAGTCTCTGTTCAGTGTGTTATTTGGCCTTACTCCTTTCACTTTCACCTCAGAATTCCATGTAGGCGCTTGCTTCACGATGCAGCAGAACTAACTTGCGTGTTGTTCGTGTTGAAACTTCTGGCTTTGACTGTGTTTTATCACTGGAAAGCTGTCTGGTAAATTTCGCTTATGTTCAGTTACTCAGAAGAATAAACGTTTGTTGGTTAAGTAGAGAACTACATTAGAATATGAAACATGGAAATTCGCAAAACGTTTTTCACAAAACTTCAGAATGTACATGTTCAACATTGTGATTATAAAAATGAAACCGACCAGCTAAATTGATTGAAAATTTCAACTGAGAAATAGCATGAATTAAAATTTCAAAGTCACAAAATGTCTATTTCGCTTATGGGAAATTTGAGGGTTCATAGAGTTGACGCGATGAAAGTATAGAATTGTCGACAGTACTCTTCTGTTTGTCTTCTTATCATTGCACTACCACGTCTTTAAATGTTGTTGAAATCAATATGTTTATATGATAAAATTCGCATATTCATCTGTCTTCTCACTTCTATCATCCTCGTCAATTTAAATCAAAGAATAATCGGTTGCTCTGTGTTTGATTAAGAGTGGAGACAAGTTATTGCAGATTGGATAGTTTGTTTTGTAATCTAGCAACAAATGTGTTATTCAAATAATTCTCAAATCATGAACGAAAAATGTATTCGAACATTATGTATCACTGTTTATAAATACCTATATCATTTTGATAATATTTGTAGTAGTTCTCTTAGTCCCTGTTATGTAGAGCAGAACCAACTGTCTTGATGTTCGCATTGAAAATTGTGACTTGGGTTGACAGTTTTTTTGAGTTGCATAAATTCTTCAACTGTAGGTTGAGTTCGTATTCTCTGTGTTGTGCTTCGGAATCTTGTTGTTTCTGCTGTATCTTTTCGAGCTTACTGATATTTAATCTGTCACTTGGCAATAACAACGTATTCTTGAATGATTTTTGTTTTCTTAATTGGGATAACAAATTTATTGACACGCGTTACGATGGATATGTTAGATGATTGTAATTTACTTGTACAACACCATCTGCTACCTCACAATATGTGATCGCTACATTTGCAAAACTTCACATGGTTTGCAGCCACTGTTATCGCAATTTCTTAAATAAATATAAAATGCCACAATGAGGTTTGAAAATAATAAACATTTTATTAAAATCTGGTAGCACTGTTGCGTTAATCACTTGTGAAATAGATAACTGGTTTGTGAAGAAATCAAACATGTTTGCTATCTCACTGGTCACTTCGTAGAAAAAACTAGGAAAACAGGTAATCTTCTGCTCATAAACCTGAACTGATGTATTTTCATTGACTATGTATTAACAATATTACTCTAGTGAATCGCCCTTCTAATCTAAGATTAACCTTAGATTTTCACTTAATTTCTACTGTATTCACAGAAATTCAAGACTAATTTGTAAATTGTTTTATAACATTTGTGCAACACTTATGAGACTCATGTCGACAATCGTTTCATTAAGAATGATAACTGTGTGAATTTGTTTTATAAATATAAATAAAATGCACCATATGCACCTTATTGACTACGAATTTTACGGATCCAGCCTCATCAAAGCATCTTTCGAAACAAGGAAGGAGGGGAACACAACGATAATTATCCGACATCGTGCATCCACCAATGAAAACAACGACAACAGCAAACATTAGCTTTACGAGGTGTGCAATCAATCATGAAGACGTCCTCAAGAACTAACCTAACAATCCTGATGGCAACCAAACGTCAATCTTGGAATGGAGAACACTGGATATGAAGACATCATCAGACGACATGGACTGTCCGGACTGTCTGACAACGAAGGCAAGCCAATCAGGGAATATTTAAGAACAGGAGAATTTTGAGAAACGTTTCAATAGACAAACCACACTTAACGCACCGGACATCGAAGCAGAACCTACAGGCATTCCTGTAGATTGCGGTCCAACGGCGATTAAGGAAATCAGGATGACCATCAGAAAAGTCAAGGGCGGAAGCGCAGGAGGATCTGATAATTGACTAGCTGAAGCAGAATCAACACACAGAAGCAAATACAAACACGCTGTGTAGGACGTTTTGGGAAGAAAAACGTGTGTCATTGACAAACTGGACAGAATAAATCATCAGGATACAAAAAAGGAGATCTGAGTAGATGTAAAAATCACAGATCATTCACATTACCGTCATTTCCAATATGCGTTTTCAATAGAGTGTTACTGAACTGGGTAAAAGAATCGGTAGAGGTCCGGCTTCGAAATCAACAAACAGGATCTGTCGTGCACAGACCGAATTGTGACACTACAGATCATCGTTGAGTAATCAAATCGTCACTATGCGTTGACTTCCCTGACTGTTAGAAAGAATTCGACAGCGCGGATAGAAGAAGTTCAAGCAATCTTCTTCTACGTTATGTCGTATATGAGATGATCGTCATTATCTGCGATTCACAAGTGCACTGCATTGAGAAGTGATGCACGCAGTAGAGCTGAAATGCGCATCGCGAGTAAATACCGGAGCAAAACAAGGGTGCCCACAATCTCTTTTGCTCTTTCTTCTGTCAACTACATCATTAAGATCACGACATAAGAGGGCGAGCGTGGGGTCATCACAGTGACAGCAGAGAGAAATAGCAAGACTCCCAATGTCAAAGGGATGTCTTAGTGTCCTTCAACCAATATCGACATTTCAGTAGAAGTATATCAGAACGACAACCCAGTTAGAACGAGGAATATAACTTTTGTGATTCTGCCGAAATTTCAGAAATAAATTAATTTTCTTTTATCATTTCAGAAAACTAGTTGTGAAAACAGGTTTATCGTGTATTGATTACATTTACAATGAAAGTGAAAAATTATTGCTCATCTGTCAAAGCATTAAAACTATCGTACGAAATGCATCCGATGCTCAATCGTTCCTATACAGATCAAATTTACCACATGAATCAATGCTTCTCTTAAAAGATAAGGCTTAGTTTTTAATCTATTGTCACCATATAAACAAACCGAAGAAACAGTGCTGAGTCTCCGTGAATTTTATGTTAAATTCTCACCTCCATATGGCTACAAAGCATTGTATCATCACAAATGATATCAATTTGTGATATAAACTCCACTCTTAACTTTAATCCTGAACAATTTGGAGACTTCTTGCTAACACCGGTCATTACCTCGAAGGAGTTTGTAAATTGTCTTCCACGCACGATTTTGCAGTTTATTCCATCATAGGAATGCTGCATAATATTGTCTATCTTCTTGGGTACGCTGTAGTGTCGATGAAGCTTCCATAGTGTTGTCCTGTCCACGTTATCAAATGCTTTCTCGTAGTCAATAAAGTTGATGTAGAGTGATGATTGTTCCACAATGATGTGCTTCACTGATTCCAAGCACCTCCAAGTTGTATCTCATCATTAATGCAGCAACTTAGATGATTATCCAGGTCTCCCAGATTGTGCGAGCATTCCCTGTACCCAAATAAATGGGTACGCTGGATGTCAGAAGGGGCACCGGACTTGTCATTTTCCAAGGAACTCGGCTTTCACCATGAGGTGTCATAACTCTATTAATGAGGAACTTCTGACCACCAGGGCCAACTTTAAATGGTTTGAATACAATTTGCTGAATAGCGCTTTTTAGCGAGTTACTTATCCATGGTGTAGGTAGATAATCCCATGCTCGACCTCCTTCCTATATCCCGGCTTGGGGCAGGCAGTAGCTCTAGAGGTGCAACAAAATTTTCCGTGTTTTTCACTCAATGAAATTAATCGTCTTTCAAATTTAAATGGTGATTATAAGTAAACTCTATCAACTGTTTCTCATTACGTCGAACGTGTATCCATTACATGTACCAGAAATTCACTGATAACAATGCCAATACAATTATCCACATCTGTGTATACGTTTTCTAATTTTCGGAGTTTTGTAAACTGAGTTATTTGGTTACAGCTATTACTTACGTATTTTAACAAGCTTACCAGCGTTTATGCGTATTATATTTCTTTTTATTGTATCGAGATGTTGACTTGAAATAAATACTCATGTATAACAGCTTATTATACTTGTGGTTTACTGATAAGCGTTTTAGGTGGCGGTCAACAGATTACTTAATTTGTGTAACTGAAAAACAACTCGTGGTGCACTTTCAGGGTGCTGAAGTTACCATTCTATAATTAGATCTTCAACTTACAGGATTACTTA